TTAGTGCCATGCCTTTTGATTAATATTTGGATTCTGTGCGTTAAACAAATACAGCTCTTCATTCATTTTTGTCTTTTTCAGCAATTCTTTTATCATGGTTTTGAAATTTGTGGCATATCCTTGGATCTTGAAATGATTTTTATTATCATGTCATTTGATGGACCCTCAATTCAATTTGGACTTTTATTTTTTCACAGGCACTTGATAAGTCTCAGCTTGTAGATATAGTCCGCCGAAAAGATCGAAAGCTTGATACACCTGGTTCGTACCATACCTCCTGAATGCCATTATTGTTAAATATTGCTTGCATACCTGCTGTACACACACATGCACATTTATAGAGTTTGCTGATTGTTATTTGTGTGCTTAAATTTAAAACTTACAGTGTTGGAAAATGGAGATAACTGGAGTGTGGGGCAACGGCAACTTGTTTCCTTGGGCCGGGCTTTGCTTAAACAGGCAAGAATATTGGTGTTGGATGAAGCAACAGCATCTGTTGATACGGCAACTGACAATCTCATACAGAAAATCATCCGAACAGAGTTTAAGGACTGCACAGTGTGCACTATTGCTCATCGTATTCCAACTGTTATTGACAGTGATCTAGTTTTGGTGCTAAGTGATGGTATGCAGCTGATCTTTTCCTACAAAATTAGAGGCACTCGTTTCTTTTGGTTTGTTTGGTGCTTTGAGACACCTGTTTCCCTGTTATGGATAAAATGATCTGTCCCTTTCCCTTTTCTATTTAATTTGTTTTGTCCAATGTCCAGGCTGTGCTTATCAGACTTCTTTTCCTTATCTTTCAGGTCGAGTTGCAGAGTTTGATACTCCGGCACGTCTCTTAGAGGATAAATCATCCATTTTCCTGAAGTTGGTCACGGAGTATTCATCAAGATCAAGTGGCATACCAGATTCTTGAAAAATGGCATGCCCAAAGTTCATTTAGTCTGAGGCTGCAGGAGCAACAGGACTAATCCCAGAATGAAGTGGCCACTGATGCTTCTCTTTTGCTGCCTTCGACAAACTCAAAGACAAATGGGAGGATAAAGGGTGCTGTCATGCCATGAATCCAAACCCTCAAGTGGAAGCAACTTCAGTTGCTTGCTTACTTAGGTGATTTGCATTAAGCATTAAAGGAATCGATGCATGCTCGGCAACTTGGCATACATTGCAACGGCAAATTAAGTCATATAGGGTAGAGATCAGTAATAATTACACGGAAAATGGGCGTATATTTGTTGAATGATGTGCGATGAAGTAGTGCTTAGATGAAGAAGCAGGCGAATGGGATGTACTTAGGAAAATTGCAGAAGTGAACTAGTCAGGTGTAGACTATTGACATTATAAACTTGCGTTTCATTTTTGTATGGTAAGTTCAGTTATAGTCGAATCTTGTATCCTTTAATGATAAATCTTGCTTCATTTCAAGTCTCCCCTCCTTACGGATTTTTTTTTCTTTTTCTTTTTCTTTTTTTGGGATAAATAACCCCTTCTTACTGTTGCAAGGAACGATAGAATGGAAGTTGTCCCTTTTTTCTTTTTTCTCTTTTTTTTGAAGGTGTTATGCTCTTTTCAATGGAATTCATGGGAGGGAATTTGCAAAGATAAATGGAAAAAAAATGTGTTAAAATAAAATTCATTACTATGTGTAGTTTTTAGATTTTTGAATAGTGAATCATTAATAATAGATTTGGTTGATAGAATTTGCTGAGATAGATGGAAAATTTTGGAAAGGGAAATGATATGTTTACCATGCTAACCGATACTCTTAGTTGCACACATTCGGTTTAATAAATAAAATATGATTTAAATGGATTTTTTTGACGTTAAAGGTTTATACCTCATTTATCTGGGTTATCGTTTGGCATCCATTTGCTCCTTCAAAATTTCTTGTTTGTGGCTATTGTTTGGAACCCAATTGATCCATCCAAATTCTATAAATTCCAACATGAACTCATCCCAATTTGATGAGACCATGTCAATCGTTCTTCCCCAACCTTCGTTTCTCCAAAGCAACTGTAGCAAGATCGAAACAGTGCCAATTGCTAGTGATTTGCTAGAAATGGAAAGGAACTATCACCAACCTTGTTTTCATCTTTCATTCCGTTCTCACCCATGTTGGAAAAGCTAGGGTTCCAATTTTATAGCTATTCTTGGGTTTTGAGTTGTTGCGCATTCAACTTGCAATGGAAATCCACAAAGGCTAAGGTTTCTTGGAAATGCTGTGGGCCCTTGGTTCAAAAGTGATCTTGGTGCACCTACCCTATCTTGTTGTTTATCAAATCCATGGATGATGTAGAAGAACGCCCACAAGCGTCACATGGATATTAGCAAACTCCTTTGTTCTTGTTTTTAGCTTTTGTTATTGTTTTTAGTGGAAAAAGTTATGGCTCTTCAGGGCTTTAAAGCTCCTAAGTAAGATGTTTCCACCTTGAGTATTAGTAAACAAAGTGTTTTGCAAAGGTTTTACCTTGGGCTTCAAAGTTTGACTAACCATAGTGAAGTTTTTTTTGCAAAGTAGAATAATATTGGGGTTGCTGTTGGCTTATCATTTAATTTCTAAACTTTGAAACCATAAATTGTTAAGTGATATATAGCCTTACTATATTGGGTAAGAGCTAAGAACAAGCAACATTATGGATGTTCTAACAATCTTAGGCTTTAGAATAGTTATTTATCTTCTTTTCAACATTTTCCTTCTAAGTAGAATACTCTATATTTTCCTTATCTATTGATCTTATGGAGGTCATAGAAAAAAAGTGACCTCACTAGAATCTATTTAGGTTGAGAAACCAAATTTCATGTGTCATTTAAACAAAATCATGTTTGTCACG